CCATTCGTAGTTGTGTTTGACTTCCAATCTGTTGCCATTCATTAATATTTTGAAGTAGATCAACATCAGGGCTAAGACTGTCATTGACTTGATTTCAAAGTGATCATCATCCAACTCATTCATTGTATTTTCATCCAATCCAAATGCAGCAAGATTGCCTGCTGTTCCTGCTTTGCGTGCCTTGGAAAAGTCATTTCTGGCATCATTACATATCAAAAGGTGATGCAGGGAGCAGTTGCACAGCACTAGCACTGAGGGACTGAATGCCACAAGTGGGGCTGAAGTCAAAGCAGATCACAGAAGCGGTAATAAAGGGTCACTACAGAGCCCTTTATATACATGAGCAGGGGAAAGCATTCCCACAGCAGAACAATAAGAAAAAGAACAATAGAGTCCAAAAGGAGAACAAAGGCCACTGGCCACAGGAACAATGCAACAACAAAAGAAGTGTGGCCGAAGCTCTGCTCTGGTCCGAATGCTCTGCAATTGATACAACATTGCAGTCACATGGTGTTGTGGCTCTCGCCACCCGGGGATCGCCCTAGGCCGACCAGGAGACTGTGGCAGAGCACATTGTGATATTACATTTATACTGTATATGAAAGAACTTTATTATTTCCTTTTGCCTATTAGTAAACCCATGAGCTTCAAATGCATCATGCCATATTATATCATTGTCAGCTTTCAGATCACTCCCAGAGTGCCATGGCTTAAATAATGTCAACATAGTTAAACAGTACTCCTCACGGTTGCCTGTGTCATGTCTTGGTAAACTACCACCAATAAAGTTTGGTACAAAGCTGTCCACTTTTTTCAGCAGCATGATGGGTCTTATGCTGTGGATGGGTTTTCAAAAAACATGCTGGCTTTGTATCATTTACTTCTCGGACTGTTTTTCTCAAATTATATGTCTGCTGATCTTGTATTTCAACAGTTTCACTGTCAGATTCCTCATCCTCATGTTTAGGTGCATCAATGTCTACCTGCTTCTTGAAAATATTGCTCTGATGGACATCAGAAGTATCATCATAATCAGAATAGTTACTAACATTATCCGAGATTTCACTATTGTCCTTCTCAACTTTTCTAGACCTTGCAGGTATTAGTGTTTTTTGTATCGCCTTATCCAGTCATACAATGAAACATTCTCATACTTTTTTGGCCGGTGTATATAGTCATCGACAGGAGAGATGGCTATGTATTTTCCATGTATATTGCCTAGCATTACCTTTTCTGGCTTTTTCGGATCAGTAAACACCTTTGCATTATTTTCTTCCCATACCTTATGCACTTCATTTACATATCCCCACCATATAAACAGCCTAAATTTGTGACTGGTATAATGGTCTGGATGATCAAGCAGATACATGAATGCCATAGGAACACCAATTCCAGAACTGGCAGTTAGTGAATTGACAATCTTGGTAATGAGAGTTTATGCCTTTTGTTTTCTATTAATGTTGTCACTATTGATCATTTCAGTGTTTCTGTCAAACACCTTCTGTATGGCATCAAACATGGTGTGTGTTCTGAGTGGAGACTTTGTAATGTAATTTGTTACATATGCTATCACTGACTTGATAGCAGTACCAGACAGTAAACTGGTTACATCAGTATTATAGTGCATAAGATATGTGACCACAGGGGTAAATGTATTCAAAAATGCTTCACCCTTTTTCATATTTAATGCACCTGTTTCTGGGTCAACTGAAGTCTGTGTGAATGTCTGTCGAGGAAAGTGGGCCTTGCATGTTTTATACTTGTTGTTTTTGCACCCATAATTATGACTGTGTTTATTCAACAAATACAATAATTCATCTGTTTCTGCTGAATATTTGCTATGCCAGTCCCTGTATACTTGACAGTGTTTACAATCTTGAGTGAATTTAGTATGCTTTGTGCATGGAATTGCAGCCTTATCTGGCATAGTCAAAGTCAGAAGAACATGATCAGGATCACTTCTTATTTTACTAACATGCTCTTCCACCTCAGCCATGGTACCTGTTGTGAATTCCCCTTTATGCACACTTTCCAGATATTCAACAATGCTTTTCTGAAACTCTGAGGTAGGATTCATAATGTGGTCCCTGATTTCCTGTGGTGTCAGTGCATTTTTAATCCATAACAGCATATGCAAATGCAAAGTCAGAATTTCATTTTATCTGCTATGCCATCGCCAAAGGCAAAATCTTGCTGTCCTACTGCCCAATAAAAGACATGGCTGCTGATATTTTGACCAAAGCTGTCACGAGTTGACATAGTGTCTAGCTGTTTTTTAATTTTTTTCCTTTTCATGGACTTGAACCCACGACCTCTGTACTATACTCAGCACTTGAACGGACAAGCCTTGCCGGCACATCACATTTCCTGTAAATAGATTAGATTAGATAGGACGGCAGTGCACGGCACCACCCAGGCCCTGCTGACACAGCTGCTATAACGCATTGGCCCATGGCCATGTCAGCAGGAAGTGCGCATAGGCCAGACATACACGCACCAACATGCAAAGCCTGCCCTAAATCCCCCATATATATAAGCTGGCCTCTGCTGCTCTAGGAACCTCAGTTTTAACCTTTTGTCCCTAGGTCAGTAAGCCACTCCTGTATTCTTTTTTTACCTGACTAATATATTGTCTTGTCCCTAGCCTTAGGTTTGAGCATCACTGACCATTGCTTCAGTAAGATCTAGTTGAACACCCCCAGCACCTTTGTTTGGTTTTCCCCTGTTGCTTGACCCTAAGTTGCAACAAAAGTGCTGCCATTGCTGAAGTGCAAACACTTCACTTTTTCCATGGGGCTCTCGAAGGTTTGAGAGGGAGTGTCGCAATCTGAAATATTATTTCTGGTATAGCATGTTTACAATATGTGCATGGTCAACTTCTGTATGTATTTCTTGTTCTATTGTTTTATTGTTTTCTTGTTACCTTATCAAGTCTTGGATCTCGATTACAATACAAGACTACTCTACGGTACATAAGGCTACCTGTTGAATGAGGAATGCTCCAGAGTCTTACATCTGGAGCATCCCTCATATGTCCCATTACTCCTGTTCACATGTACTTATACTTACAAGCCATGTAGTGACCTCTGTGTCACTGCAGGTATGAATATAAAGTCTTACATCTGGAGCATCCCTCTGACCTCCATGTCACTGCAGCTCCTGCTCTCTGTTCTTGTCACCTCACCCAGTTGCACCACTGCGTTTATGGTGTTAGCTGTACCCTAGCACCATAACCTATGTTGTTATGTAATACACAAGTTTGACCATAAATTTTCCAACTGTCTCACTTTTAAATATTCTACAAGTTTAGATAAGCTTTCTTCATACACTTTGAAGCAGATCACAATATAGCATCTCAAGATGACTTGTGAAACGGTCACCACACAAATGCCATTTTTGGTAGGTGATCAAAGATTTAGGCATCAGAAGCAGATTGTAACCATCACAAATGGGTGCTTCATGGGCACTAATTGGAATGGGGGGTACGCCTATTGAACTGCCCCAAACCCTCTATTGTTGTGGTGGGGTGCGGATACAAGGGGATGGGTATGAGACAACTGCGTGGGGCCCAAAGCAGAGGCGCTGTGTGCAAGCACACTGACGCTACACACCTATCATAAACAGGTAGCATACCAATACAGCAGCAATGCTCGTGTGCTTACACACATGGTCAATGTGGTGGCCATGCTAGATCTTCAGCCACAATCTGGTGTCATCCCACTATTCTTAGACAGTTAAGTGACCCGTGGTGTTGCCATGATAAGGTGCTTTGCACCTGGTATGTTTTTCATTATCATTAGTATATTTATTTTGAAAGGTGCTCTGCGCCCTATTTTGTATGTAAAGTAATACAGACTGCACGGGTGCTTTGCACCCGGTGATAGGTGCCAAGCCCCTCTGGGCCCCGATACAGCTCTTTTCGGCAATCACATCCCGCCCGGCACTTCGGCTCAGTCACCCAACACTTCGATTTCGCCTTCGACGCTCTTCGACATCTTCGACGGTGCGCGACGCTTGCTCGAAGCTCGGCGCGGTCGTCCCGATGCCTCGCGCGTAGATCTCGGGACATCTCCTGCATTCGGCGGACAATAGGGCCACTTGACGCCGTTCGTCCAAGCGCGGGCATCGCTCCGTGCCACACCAACGTAGCCGGTCTTTCCCGATTAGGTATCGAACCTCGCGGCATGCCTTCGACAACGGATACCGGTCCAAAGTGTCTCGTATGTTTCTCTTCATCTCCGTGTTCGGCATAACGTCACTCTACCAATGGACTTGATATGTGCCACTCGGTGAGGCAGACTCGTGCGGGACAATGCAAAGCCCCTCGTACTAGTGTGCCACTCTCGATAGTCGTAGCGTCCCTTGCATAGTATAAAATCTGTCGTACTTCTCTCCAAAAATAG